CTGCCCTCCCGAGCTGGAAGCTCTTCCTAGACTTAAATTTGGTTTGGAAAACTCAGTGACTTGGGGAATGTACATTTTGAGCCCCAAAAGGCGTTTCAGTACAAAAGATTTAAACTGCCCAAGGCCGAAGTCACACTGGGATAAGTGAAGTTAAGGGATGAGGTGTGTTGGGATGGTTTGGCACCCGGTTGGACCCGAGTTCTGGCAGGACAGGAACATCTCTAAACACCCTGAAAATGAGCTGTGCAGTCATTTCATCACACCTGTCCCATCCTCAGAGCCCTTGGGGTGTGAGTCACTCATGACAAAGGGCTCTGGCTGGTGAGTTAAGAGCTGGGTCATGGAAAAGTTGCCCTTGGGGCAGCCCCGTGTCCACCAGGGCAGGGGGACCCCTAAAACAGCAGCCTGATGGTGGGGGGTGGTGTTTGTGTGAGGGGATGGACAAGTGATGGGGCAGGAACTCCTGGTGCGTGTCAGGTGGGCGACAGAGCAGCTGCACTCCTAATTGAGGGGGGATAAATCCAGAGCAATTCCTTTTGGGTTCAGCGGGAGATGTTTTCCAGAGTTCCCACAGAGCAGGGAAGGTCTATGAAGTGCCCTGGGTAAGAAGCTGTTCAGGGATATCAAGGGATATTCCTTGGGGGACAACTCCCCAAAAGGCAGGAGGAGGAGGTGCATGGCCCAATCCCAGAGCTCAGGGCGTGAGGAGCAAGTTGGGCTGGGCAGATCCCTCCGGATGGAGAAAGGCTCCAGGTGGGAGAAGAAGGTTTGTTGACACCTCTGCCACTTCTTTCCAAAATGCTGCAGCTCTTCACCTCTGGAGACTGGTTTCCCACGCAGGGTCAGCTCCCAGATGTCCTCCTCAGTATTTTCCCTGTGTCCCCCATCCATCCCATATTTTTCCGGAGTCACCTCTCCCAGCAGTCGACGTTCGGGAGCGTCGCTGCCAGTCTGGCTCTGCTGGAGCTGTGCCAGGGAACCCACGTGGTGTCTGCTCTCCCAGTTTCTCACTTCTGGGGTAATTCCTCAAGTACCAAACTTGCACTTTTCGTGTCACAACACGTGACTTTGGGCAGGAATAAATTCCCACTGGTGCCGAAGGGAGCGGATTTCCAGCAGCACGAAGCTGAAGACGTGAGGTTGCTCGTGTTTTCACCCCCAGAAGCTGCTCATAAATCCTATTTTTGAAGAGTTTCTGAGGTGTGGGCAATAAAGAATGAGGTGGATGAGCTTAAAATAGAACGTGAGGGTGTTTGGCAGGGGAAAATACTTTGGCTTCATCTGGCTGAGGCAAAATCTTCCCGGGACTGTTGCAGCTTCAGAGCTCAGCAGAAACAAACTGGTTTGCAGAGGTTTAGGGGAGAATTAGTAAAACAGAATAAGGGAATTATTTGGGTTGGAAAAGTCTTCCGGGATCATTGAATCCAGCCACTCCCCCAGCACTGCCAAGGCCACCACTGACCCATGTCCCCAAGTGTCACATCCACAGGGATTTTGAACACTTCCAGGGACGGGGATTCCACCCCTGATCTGACCCCAAAGGCACTTAAACCCCTCTTTTAAAATCTACTTCCTGAACCCCTATACAATTCATCTCCTAAAAAGAGGGAGCCTAAAAGCCATTAATCCAAAGCAGCATCACACCAAGAAGGAAAGGGGAGAGCAGAGCTGGAGAGAACAGCCCAGAAATCTGAAAAATATACATGAAAAATTAAAGGCAGCTCTAAAACACCTCCTTGCTGCAGCCCCACGTGCTCCTGGTTGTTGTGCCGGAGTTTTTGCAGCAGCTCTTCCCAGAGCTGTGTGTTTTCCCTGGGGAGAACATCAAATGAACACTGGCTTCCTTGCTCCTATTGATTGTGGAGATGATATTAAATTAAAATAAAGGCAGAGAACAACTTTTGATTTCTTGGGCGAGGAGCCTCATCAATTTTTTCGACGTGTTTTCACCTCATTTTCTGTTTCTGCATCATCACAAGGCCCAGCAGAGCCAGGGGCCCTTCAGGGGCCAATCCATACAAGGAGAAAGGAAAGGATATTTTCCTTCTGTCCCTGATATTTTCATGTCAAGGGGGGTTTGATCCTCTGGCTTGTTATTTTTTGATTCAAGGTGACAAGATGTGGCAGGAAGGGAGCAGGGCCTGTCTGAGGAACAGGGATTTCCAGGGGGGAAAATCAGACACTCCTGAGCCCATTCCTGATTCTTGGATCCAGACACCCATGGAATGTGGATCATCCCGAGGGACTACAGCTTTTGCTTCCATGAGGAGGCTTGTTTGGGGTTATTTGGGGGATGAAGAAGAGCCAAGAAACAAACCCCATCTCTCTTTCCCCTTAAACCCCCCAAAAAAGGAGAAGGACCAGCGATTGAGTCCCAACCTGGAGGGTTTTAAAATAGGTGTGGATGTGGCACTTGGGGACATGGTGGCCTTGGCAGTGCTGGGTTGGACTCGATGGCCCTAAAGATCTTTTCCAACCTCAATGATCCCGTAATTCCATGAATACACATTTGTCTCCATCTGCCTGAAATAACCCCGGAGTCTCAAGAAGTGTCTGGCTGGAAAACCTCTCCCAAAGCCACAGTTTTCCTGTGGTCTGAAAGTGCTTGGATTTATTTCAGGCTGGTTTTTCTAAAACCCCCCAGTATTGGAAATTTCAGGGGTGGTTTTTCGGGGTGGGTTTAGAGGTGTTTTTTTTAGAAGTGGCTTTTAGAGGTGTTTTTTTACTGGATTTGCCAGCAGGTGCTGATGGTGCCTCAGATGGAACTCGTGGCCACCCAGGACTATGTTTGTCATGGTTCAGACTTAATTAAGGACTGTTATTAAAGATTAGGGCATTCAGGACTTATCTGGGGGGGGATTACCCAGCTGCAAAGATCTTGGTGCTCCATGAGTTTGTCACCTGGATCCCGTCCCTCATGGATGAGCAGGGTACATGGACAGCCATCACCACCTGTGCCCATGGAATTAGGGAGTCTTTAGGGTCCCTTCCCACCCAAACCATCCTGGGATTCTACTGGACTGTGTGTCCAGTTGAGAGAATTTTAGGGAAAATACCCTTGGAGTGAAGTGGAGTTGGTTTAACACCCCTGGCCAGGCAGATCAGGGTGGAAAGTGGGATCATGGAGGAAATGGGAAGACTGTGGAATGATGGATGTCCTGGAGAAGAAATTATTCTCTTCTAATGAAGTGGAGGGTGAGCAGGATATCTGTGATTGAGGATCATCATTAATGTTCCACCTGCAATCACTGGGGCTGCAAATAACCTTCTGAGGAGCTCCTTGATTGCTGAAAGGCTTCAGATATTCCTGAGTACGACAACAACAGAGTTTCATGCCTAAAAAAAAAATCCCTGTTAAACTGCTGCTTAGCCAACATTAACTCCAGCAATTTTTAATTAACCTGATTTAGAAGCCAAACATATCCCTGATGAAAATGAGAGGGTAGAACACACAGTCATTTATTCCACTACAGTGGCCACGAGTGGTGACTGAGATTTATTCCAGCGAACCTCAGAATTTGGCCACGGGGTTTGGGAATTGGCACGTGGTGGAAGAGATTTGGGGCGTGGAGGGAGAGATTCCAATGGCATTGTGTGGATGCTCGGAAAGGGGGAGGCCAGACCTGTTATATTGTTAATATTTTAATGTTCTAAAATATTAAAAAAAGAGGAGTATGAATTGAGTGCTAATTAAATCTTTCCAGCCTTTTTTGGCAGAGTTTGATGGAAGGAGGACTCTCCAGGGGTCACTTTGTCACCCTGGGGTTGGTTCTGCTCTGGGATGGTGTCCAAGGGGACAAACCGTGGTGGCAAGCTCAGCAAAGCCAAATTCTCCACCAGAAAAGGAGGATTAACATGTCCTGCTCGGTCTGTCCAAGGGATTTGTGCAGGGGCACGTGAGAAGGGATGGAGTTATCCAGGTGTTGCTGTATCCAGGAGGGAAGACCTCCAAGAGATGGAAGGAAAGCAAAGCAGAATGATGACAAGGGATGGGATCTGAGGGGATGCCTGGAGCTGTGCCAGGGGAGGGTCAGGTTGGATCTCAGGGAAAGGTTCTTCCCCCGGAGGGTGGTTGGGCACGGAACAAGCTCCCCAGGGTGGGCAATTCCAAACCTGCCAGAGCTCAAGGAGCACTTGGACAACACCCTCAGGGACAGGGTGGGATTGCTGGGGTGTCCTGGAGCTGGACGGGATGATCCTTGTGGGTCCTTTCCTACTCAGGGTATTCCCTGATTCTCTGAAAATGGAGCAGCCTAAGCTGGGGAAGTTTTTGTCCGTGGAATCCACAGAGAACAAGAACTTCCATGGAGTGAGGGTTGGATCAGCCACCTGCACTGGGTGTGGGGGCACTCAGGATCTGTCCAGCCCTGCTCAGGTGATTCTCCCTGAACTCTCCATGACCCGTCCAAGTGAAGCTGATGAAAACTGAAGCCTTTTCCAAAGAGCCCATTAAATCCCCTCCCGCGGCTCCGAGGGGTCGGAGCTGCCGCGCGCGTTCCTTCCAGGTGGCCTGGCAGGGAACCGGGGCCCTCCCGGGATGGCACTTGTGCAGCCAGGAGTGAAAACAAGCCTGGCATGTTTTCCTACAGCATCCCTTCAGCAGGAAACTCGGGATAATGGGAGCGCTGAGCGCTGGGCTGGGTGCTGAGCTCTGCCAACGCTGCCGTGCAGCCAAGGAAAACCTTTCCAAGCCGGTTTTCCATGGCTGAATTCAACATTCAGAGCACGTGTTTCCTCAGTGCTTTTCTTCCAAGCCCATTGCACATCCTTGTTTTCTGCATTCTGGTCATTGCCCTCATTTTTTACAGGAGTAAGGATGAAATATTGATGATGTCACGTGGAGCACATTCCCAGCTCTTCCTACATCCTGGGAATACAGTCGTGTTTTCCCTCCCGGCTGTGCCCATTCCCTCTCTGCTCACACCTGTTTGTTGCATTCCGGGGGTGTTATCCTGGCTGCCTGTTGATAAAAATCCTGATTTTTTTTGGTCTCATTCCAGGTTATCCCACGGGATATCCCACGGCTGCCCCGGCCTACAACCCCAACATGTACCCGACCAGCAGCCCCGGCTACGCCCCAGGTAAAACCCCTCTGTGGAGGAGGGAATTCCAGCAGTTTCCATGTGCTTGTCAGCCAATCCCTTCCTGGGAAGGAGCCTTTGTTGGGGGTCTTCCCTTCCTAACTCTGCCGTTAACTTCATGCCTTCCTTTGGGAATATTTGTCTGTGTTGCAAAGCACTTCGGAGCCACGAGTTATATCTTGATACGAATCCCAGGAATTTTGCAGCCCCTCAGCACTGGGATATCAGCAGGTTGATGGCATTGATTCCCTTCTCTGTGTGTGTCCTGCTCTCCTTCCATGCCACAGCTGCAGGAATGTCAGGAGCTCTGTCCTGTTTGGGGTCTTTCCCGTGGCACTGCCAGAGTCTCTCCCAGTGTCTCCTCCTGTCCTTCACAAACTTGGGCCACGCCTGGGAATTCTTCTTCCCCTTTGACAGCACCAGCTGCTTTCTTCTCCACAAATCTCATTTTCCCCTGGTATTCCCAGGCATCTGTTGGGTTTTATTTGGGTTGGTGTCCTTCTGGGAAGGTCTTTAGCTGCGTTTCTTCCCACTAAAAACCTTAGGAAGTGAGTTTTGTTCCTGCGCTGGCCACCCTAAAATTCCCCTGGAGAACTACTGGGAGAATAAAGGGAAAAGAGCTCCACGGACTAAGAAAAAGCCCATAAATTTATTAGTAGCTTGTCCTGCCAGAGCCTGGCAACGTCCTCCCTGCTCAGCCAGGGATGTAAATCCTGCAGCATTCCGGAATATCGGCCTGGAGCTTGGACTGGAAGGTGTTCCTCACCACGGCACAGGGTTGGAACTGGATGATCCTTAAGATCCCTCCCAACCCAAACTATTGTAGGATCCTATGACTCTTCTTGGGATTGGCACTGTAGGAATAGGGAAGTGGAGCCAGTCCCGATCCCTCTCCCAGTGTCAGGTTTCTGGTGGATTTTTGCTGATGTTCGAGCCCCAGAATAGGATAAATTCCTCACCAGTATATTCCAAAGGAGCCTTTCCCAAGCAAAAGGATGAGTTGGACTCCATGATCCTTGTGGGTCCCTTCCAGCTCAGGATATTCTGGGATTCTATGAATTCCAATTCAGGTTCCTGCCTTGTGTGATTTTCCTGTTGCTTTTTTCCCCAGTTTTTAGAGGGAGAGACACAAGACAAACCCCCGGCATTGCAAACTCTGCTGGTTGCAATGAACCACCATTTATTTAGGATTTTTTTAGGATACTCTTCTTCCAAAAAAAGGCCTTTTAAGCTGGTAAAAACGAGCGTCTCAAATCACCACTGCAGAGACACAATAAAAATAAAATAATATATGTCTTCATTAAGCTGCCTGTTCCCTCCCAGGCTTTCTGCCTTCCCACAGTGGTTGTTGTGGTTTAACTCCCTTCATCAAGGCTTCCCTTTTTATTTTCCTGAAAGTAGGACACACACTTTCCTCCCGGAGCCTGGTTTAGGCTTTAGCTGCACTTATTAATAATGCAAGTTTGCAGCAATGCCCTTGCATTGCAGAACGAGAGAATTCCAAAATCAGGAATTGTGGGACAGGATGGAGGCTCTGAAATCCTGGAATGGGTTGGGTTGGAAGGGTTCATATACTTTTTTTTCCCATTTCAGTATGACTAAGGGTCCTCTGCAGGGACCCAGAGCTCACATTGTTTGCTCAGTTTCCACCTGGATTAAACAGATAAGGAATAAAAGCTCTTGATTTTATTTATTTTAAGGTGGGAGGCAAAACCAAATCCAGAAGACACTGGTTGGAGGTGGCCCTTAAATGACATTAAATAATCATGGCTGGCTTGTGACCCTCTTCAAAGGACCAGGAGATATTAATGTTCTGGAAGCCTCCTTGGTTCACCTTCTGTGTAGCTTTAGGTGATGGGTTCTCCAAGAATCCATGATTTAATGTCCAGAACGTGGGAATCTCCACCCCAAATTTCCTGGATTTTGTGGTGGGTTTGATGTGGAGAGGGAAAACCTCAGAGGAAGGACTGAGTGGAAATAAATTGTGTCAGTCTCGGAGATTAAAAAAACCTCTGGAAAATCCAGAGGCAAAAAAGAATCTTATCCTGAATAAAAGCAGCAGGGAAGGAGTGTTTCTGTCCCAGGGCTGGAGTTGGGTCTCCAGTGGGATGTTGCTGAGTGCAGTGTGCCATGGAAAATAAACCAGGCAGCTTGGAAATCCTTCCTAACTCCCAAAGCTTTGGGAGAGAGTGAGGCTGGAGCAGGAAGTGATCAGTGCCTGAGTGGAGGAGAAACTGGGCTTGGATCCCTCACTTCCCACAAACCTCCTGGTTTCACAGGATCCCAGATTGGCTTGGGTTGGAAAGGACCTTCCAAATCATCTCTTTCCACCCCCTGCCATGGGCAGGGACACCTTCCACTAGACCAGGTGGCTCCAAGCCTTGTCCTCCCTGAATTCTGTTGGTCCCTCCTCAAATCCCACAAGGTTTGGCTCTTGAGATTTCTTCTGGATTCTTTTCCTTGGCACCATAAATACTCTTCCACAAACTGGGACACAGGGAGACCTGCCCAAAGCCACTGCTGGCCTTCCCAGAGTTCCTGAGGACCACCCCACGCTGGGACGGGACGGTCACAGCGACCAGTGGTGGTGCCTCCAGGGGTTTTTCCGGGAATAAAATGCCTCACGCCCCAGGCTCAGCCCGTTTTCCTGCTGGGAATCACAAGGCTGAGGGCAGCCCTTGCTGCTTTGGAGGGACAGAGGTGACCATCTGGGGAGGGACAGTGGACACAGATCTGCAGGTCCCTCAGCTCAGTCATTGTCCATAAAAGGTGGGAGCGGAAGGGAAAGAGCAGCAAAATGATTCCATAAATGTGGGAATTGTCTCTCCACTGTTCTGTGTGTGACTCCTCTTCTTTGTCTCCACCCAAGCCACCCTCCTGATGAAGCAAGCCTGGCCTCAGACCTCCTCGTCCTGTGCCACCGAGGGCACCTTCCACCTCCCTGTGGACACTGGCACCGAGAACAGAACCTACCAGGCCTCTTCTGCAGCTTTCAGTAAAGACACCTTTCCTTCCTGGGGTTTGATTGCCTGATCTGGGCCCCTTTGGGGTGTTTATTTAGGAATGGGGTTCTTTGGGATCGTATTTGGGTTGGGAGGGATCTTAAAGCCCGTCTTGTTCCACCCCTCCTGTCTTGGGCGCCTTCCACTAGTCCAGGTTGCTCCAAGCCTGGTCCATCCTGGACTTGATGGATGTGTTAAAGCCGTGAGAAAGGAGAGCACTGACCCTCCTGCTGCTCCTCCAGAGGAGGAATCCTCCTGGAAGTGGAGGAGGTGAAACCTCTCCCTCAACTGTTTGGTCCCCAGGAGTGACCTGGTGTTTGTCTCCAAGGGGACATTATTTCCTACTCCCTTTAAATGGAAAGAATTCCAAACCAAAGCCTGATTTTCAAGGGACAGGGCTGAAATTCTGGCTGAGCAGAAGCAGGGGGAGGAGATGCTGTGCAGGGATCACGGTCAAACAGGCTTTTCCAGGTGGAGCCTTGGAATCTCATCCCTGAGGAGGACAAATGGTGCCTCTGGGAGGGCTGATAAGCTCCCTGATAAGGCAGAACCTTTTAAAAGCCTTTGGGAGGCTTTCTCTTGGAAAAGGGATGTCCCTACAATTCTTTGGGGACCTGGGATGTGGCACCTAAATTCACACCAGGCCAGATTTGACCAAGTTGTGAATATTTGGAAAAATCCCAGCTTGTAAGTAGTAAAAAATTAGATCTTGTTTGGTGAAATCAGCAATTTTAACAGAAACTGGAGCTTAAAGGCCCATTGTTGTCCCCACCTCCAGACACCCCTCAGGTGCTGAGGACTGGCAGCTCCCAAGGTCTTTTTTGGAGAAAACAAATCCAGAATTGAAGAAAAAAAATCCACTAGATGGAAAAACAAGAGGCTGAAGGATTTAATTTTTTAAATTTGTCCTAAAAAAACAGAAAACCTGAAATATTCTTGAGGGGTTTTTCCCCATTTAGCAGTTAAGCAATAATGTTTAATTAATGGAGCCTCTAAAGGTTGGAAATTCAGGTGCTGTGACATCCCATCCCACACCTCCTTTAGATGTTGCACCTTCCATGAGGTTTTATGGCATTTCCCTGCCAGGGTCCTTCATTTTAGTTTATTCCCCACATACTCAGCCTCTCCTAAATGCTGGAAAATGAGTTTAAGTTTCCTTAGACCTTTGATAAAGTCTCAGTGTGGGACTTGGATGCTCTGGATAATGGGCAAGACCAGGGGATGCATTTCCTTTTCCTTAAATCCAAGCAGAAGAAAGAGAACAATTCCAATCTGCCCTGTGAGCCTTCAAGGGAGGAAATATTTCAAGGCACCCATCATTTTCCCCTGGTGGGTGTGACAGAATCCTGGAATCCTGGAATGGTGCGGGATCTTGAAGGGATTTGTTCCAGACCCTTGTGATGGGCAGGGACACCTTCTGCTATCCCAGGTTGCTCCAAGCCCTGTCCAGCATGGCCTTGGACATTTCCAGGGATGGAGCAGCCTCTCCTCTGGGCAAATCCTTCTCCTTGGGATATCAGTAGATGCTGGTGTGTCCCTCCATGCCCAGGGAGCAGCCGGTGCTCCATGACCAGCACCCCGAGCTCCTCACGTGTGTGTGACCCAGCTCTGCCGCCACAAATCCAAGCCTAAAGCCGGGATTACTGCTCTCTTTCCCAGGATACACCGCAGGGACTCCCTACAAGGTGCCACCGACCCAGAGTAACAACGCTCCTCCTCCCTACTCGCCGTCTCCCAACCCATACCAGACCGCCATGTACCCCATCCGAAGTGCCTACCCCCAGCAGAACCTGTACACACAGGTAGGTTGGGGCCTCCCGGGGCGTGGGGCCTCCCCACCACATCCCAATGCAGCTCCAGGCTCCCTGTGGGAATCTCCTCGGCTCCCAGGGCTGAGCACCCACGTCCGTGCGGGGTGGAGAAGCTCGTGGTGGGGCTTTGGGATGGTGGGGTGTGTCTCCTGCCTCCTCTATTGGATGTCAGGGTGCATCCCCGTGGATCAGCCTCGTTGGGAATTGGGGCCTTTCCTCCCGAATCACACTGGCTGCCAGGGATAGTCCTGGGTGATCCCTGCACCCCACTATCCCCGCCCAGCCCAGCTCTCAAACATTGCTCTTCCCCAAGGCCCCGGGTGAGTCGGGGTCACCCCAAGGTCCCTTTGCTGCTGGTCATTGGCATCACCCTCCTGCCACCTCCCCTGTGTCCCCTTCACCAGCACCAGCCACCACCCGGATCCGTGTCCTCCTGGAGCAGCTCCTCCCTCAGCACCTGGATGGATTTCCAGGCCCACCTTCCCTGCTGCTGCACGGCCACCACCTCCAGCCATGTGCTGGGGCCAAGAGCCTCTGCAGGGATGCAGTTCAGGCCAGATGTCCTCCTAAAACCACCTTAATTCCCATTCCCACTGAAGATCACAAGCTTCCCAGAGCCATCTGGCCCTTCAGCTTCCCTGGCTTTTCCTCTCCTCTTTCATGTCCAAAGACCAAATTCTCCAGCAGCACTGGAGCTGCCTGTCCTGGGGATGGCCCTTCTCTTCCTCACGTTTCAGGGCCTTCATTGTTTTGGGTGTGGAGCTTTTTCTGTTGGCTCCTTTTATTCCCTTCTTTCAAAACTCTGTCAGTCTGGGCAGCCTGGATTTTGGAGCCCTGTTGGAAACCCAAGGAGATGATAAACGTCCTGGTTTCCAAGGAGATGATACACGTCCCAAACAAGCACCTTGGGACCATCCAAGAGCCACTTGTCCTTCTCTTCCATCTCTTCTTCCTTTTCCACACCAGCAGCCAAAGTCTTGGTGTCCAGGTCCTCTTTCATCCCACCAAATCCTGGATGGATTGACTCCTTGATCCGTGATGCTGATCCCCCCTCAGTCCCATTGCCTCCATCCATCCCACACATCCACAGGGTCATCATCACCATTCCTTGCCCGGATCTCCCAAGTCACAGGAGAGACACCCCAGGAAACACTTGAATGGCAAGCACTTGAATCCTGGGATTGTTTAGGTCGGGAAGGCTCTGTAAAAACATGGAATGACGGTGGGGGTTTTTCCCCTCCTTCCCCACCAGGGAGCTTATTACACCCAGCCGGTGTACGCGGCGCAGCCCCACGTCATCCATCACACCACCGTGGTCCAGCCCAACAGTATCCCGTCGGCCATCTATCCCGCTCCGGTGGCCGCGCCCAGGACCAACGGAGTGGCCATGGGAATGGTCGCCGGGACCACCATGGCCATGTCAGCAGGTAAGCAGGGAAGCCTTTCCATGCTCTGCACTTCCATCTCTCAGTGGGATGTATCCAGACAGCCCATGCAGGAGACTTATCCTGGATGAAAAATTCCCAGCGTCAAATTCTTTCCTCTGACTGTCCCATAAGCACGGGAATCCCCGGGTTTGTCCGCTCCAAACAGTTGGATTTCTCTCCTCAAGTTCCATTTTTTTAGGGCTCTTATGGCCTTGTTTTTGTTCGACATTATCCTTGGTTTCTCTCTCCCGATTCCTCCACATTTTATGTGCAGGATTCCTTGGATTGCTGGCGTGTGATGGGCTGGGTTTATTTGTTTCCAAAGCCTGTATTTCTCTCATTAACAATTCTTATTGTATATTGAATTATGCCAAGAAATGCATCATTCATCCCTTTGCATCTGCACTGGCTGGGAAATAGGGCTCTATTATGGGATGCAAGCCCTGTTCCAAGCAGGGATGGGTGTGACAGGAACCACTTGGAGATATTTACTGTCGCTTACTCTGAGAAGTGGATTAATTAATGCATGTGGGATGTGTTAGAATTCCAATAATTTGTAGAGACATACCCAGAAACCAGGAATTTGTTTTGAGCAACCAGTTGCTCCAGGAACGGAGCAGTCCAGGGCTGTTCTCCCTTCCCATGTAGGCACCGTGCAAATTCCAGCTTCAAATTCCTCTGGCTGAAAAAAGAAGTTACACCAGGCAGTGCCTTCATGGCTGGGAGAGGATCAATCCTGCTGCATCCCAAGGCTCTGGGGGTTTAAAGGAAGTAAAAGAACTCCTGGGAGATGAGTGGCAAAGCTCTTCCCAATTTTCCTTGGAAGAGCTCTTGGGGTTTTTTTCTCACCTCCCTTTGCATCCCTCATCCCTTCCACTTTGATCCTTGGATGTTTCAGATCTCCTGTTGTAGTTTAGCCCAGTGCCTTCAGCAGGTAAAAGAGGTCAGCAGGTCAGCTGGGCTGGTCTTTAGGGACAAGGAAAATTGGGAAAAAAAACCAAGGAAAACCCTTGAAAAGATGAGGTGATGACCAAAAGTGCCATGGAAAACACCCTGGAGCTTCAGGTGTGTTTATTCCACTCGTGGCACCGGTTGATCCCAACCACAAGTCCGACACCTTCCAGTGAGGTCTCACGGGCAGAGGAATATTTGGGATGATGGAAAAGCTAAAAGGAGGCAGCTGGTGCTGTTCCTGCCCCTGGGATGGGCACCACTTCCCTGAGGGAGCTCTCCTTGATCCGTGTTTCCCTTGCAGGAACCTTGTTGACCACCCCCCAACACACCGCCATCGGAGCACATCCCGTGTCCGTGCCAACGTACAGGGCTCAAGGAACCCCCACCTACAGCTACGTACCTCCACACTGGTAATCCACTGGCCAATCCATGTGAGTGATCCCTCTGCTCCGCCCTGGGGCACAAATTAACCTCCAAACCTCAGCCAGCCTGGCCTTGGACACTCCCAGGGATGGGGCAGCCACAGCCTCTCTGGGCAACCTGTGCCAGGGCCTCCCCACCCTCACAGGGAGGAATTTTTTCCCAGTATCCCCTCTGGCAGTTTAAAACCATTCCCCTTTGTCCTATCCCTGCATTCCCTTGTCCAGAGTCCCTCCCATCACTGGGATATGGGTTTTTCCCTATTAAAAGGGGATCTCCCTTGATGATCTGGGAGATCGTCCTGTCCATGAGCACCAGGGTTACTGCACATCCCTGTTGTGCCCAGGATCCCAGAAATCCCAGGGTTACTGCATGTCCCTGTGGTGCCCAGGATCCCAGAAATCCCAGGGTTGCTGCATGTCCGTGTTGTG